CTAATTCAAACAACTTTGTATTTTCACTAATAACAAAGTTACTAATGGTGGACACTTAATTTGGATAACCCTGTATACTAAGTGACATATAAATCCGAACACCCAGTTTAAATGGTTTTATTTTAATAAAATTTTGTATAAGTACTAAATGAAGCATAATAAGTAAATGATACAAATTTCAAAATGATTGCACTGCTTTAAGGCCCTTTGACCTTTAATAACGTGTGGATGCACCCTGATGTGCTACGCATTCTCCAACGCGCCTAGGCATGCTTCTGATCAGGTGGTCAATGTCCTCCTGTGGTATCTCATTCCAGGCAACCACCAACTCCTCTCGAAGTGCTTCTAGAGTCTGAGGAGGACGTTGCAAATTGAGCAATCTCCTACCCATCATATCCCACACGTGCTCAATTGGGGATAAGTCGGGATATCTTGGTGGCCATGGTAACAATGTGACATCATTATGTTGAAAGAAGTCTATTGTGACTCTTGCAACATGTGGTCGGGCATTATCTTGTTGGAAAGTTGGATCTGCCAGGGTGTCAAGATAGGGTAAAAGATGGGGTTCTAGAACTTCGTGGATATAATGCTGCGCGTTCATGTTACCTCTGATGAAGACTAAAGGTGACCTGGAACCATAAGCTATAGTACCCCAAACCATAACTCCAACAGTGTGATGAACATGTCTTTCAACAAAAAACTGTGGATTCCTCCTTTAACCACGTCGCCTTCTAACCCTGGCACGACCATCGTGGATGCCTAAACAAAATCGAGACTCGTCACTAAAGACAATACTGTTCCATTCCTGATCCCAGAGTGACCGTTGTCTGCACCACTCAAGGCGATTACGTCGGTGTTCTCGAGTTAAAGGGAGGACCCAGTGTGGCCGGTATGAAAACAAGCCAAAACTTCTCATTCGTCGGTAAACACTTCGCATGCCAATAGGTCTTCCGTGTTCTGCAAATCATTCATTTGCAATGAACCTGGTAGTGGAGAAACGGTCCCTTAAGGCCAATAATCTTAGGCGGCGATCTTCACGGTCTGTTGTTCTACGGCGGCGTCCAGTGCCCCTTGCTCTTTGCGTACGGCCTTCTCGAAGCCATGCCTGACAACACCTAACCACAGTGTCTACACTTCTTTGCACTCTAACTGCAATTGCCCGAAAAGAAAGTCCAGCTTCCCGAAGTCCCGCTATACGGCCCCGATCAAACTCACTAAGTTGACGAAATCGTACAGGTCTCCGTACTCTAGGCATCGTAACCGATCGTAAAGGATGTCAAGAACCAAAATCCGCCAACGTTGATTCTTTACTGCGGCTGAAATATTCATTTTTAGAGCGTTAGTGAATTAAAAAAAAGCAGTGTAAAAACCGGAATGTCCAACTGATAAGGCTGAACATTTTTTCACTTGTTATTTACAGTAAGATAAATACATTCACCAACTTTTATTAAAATAAAACCATTTAAACTGGGTGATCGGATTTATATGTCACTTAGTATATTATATTGTTATACTAAATTTTGTTTGAAAATAAAAGAGGGTTTGTTATTATTATTACTATTATTATTATTATTATTATTATATTGGCGTTGGAAAATTTCACTTCACAGACAAAACTGTAAACGTAGCTAAATATCAAAATTTCCTTGAAACCAATTTGCTAGTGTCAATTTAAATTTTTTCACCTGATAGAAACTTTATTTTTCAACAAAATGGGGTGGGGTGTCTTGTCATCCGGCCAAACCAACCACAAAAAAATGGTTGCAGGATAATAATATTTCCGTCATTGACTGGTCTCCCGATTTAAATATTATCGAAACTGTATGGCACAAAATAAAGCAACAGTTAAGATATTGTCCACAACTGAACATTTCTGAATTACGAGTGAAAGTACAAAATATAAGGGATTCTTCTAAGGTGGAAAACAGTGAAGACCTTGTTATAACTGCACAAGCCAGAATTGATGCTGTGGTTAAGTCAATAAACATTGTTGTTATCAATCTTAGTTTAGTTTTATAGTTTAATATAATATTGCTTGATAATTATTTTGTTAATATCATGTCCAAGCAATATATTTCAATGTCAAAATATTTTGTTACCTTATAAAAATAAACAAGCTTTAAGATGAAATTAGATCATGTCCGAACTATTTTGTGTTAGGGCCCGCGTGTGCTCATGAAAGTTTAGTTTACAAGCGAAACATACAATTAAGTAATTTACAAGAATTCGATTGAAAAAGACCATCCACATTCAGATCTAGCTCACTTCTATGTTAACGTTTATAACAACAGCCTTATCTCAGCTCACAATTAACCGATTTCATCGAAACCAGACAGAAAATTCATCAAACACGATTTGAGCTTTGCAGTGAATGGGATTGACACTTTTTACTGATTCAGTTATAGTGGTATCGTCAGAGATATGACGAAGTGTCAAATCCACGACGACTGGCTTGTAGGATGTAACCTTATGCGTAAATTACAAATAATTTTAGTGACATGGACAAAACAAGGTAAAACGTACCCAAAAGGCCGGAAGTAGCATTCGATTCTTTCTATCACCCACGGTTTTCTTGAAATAAGGCATTTTATTTGCTGCTTATACTCGTAAAATATAAGGGTATGTGTGTAAGAGTACTAATAAAAACTCGAATAAACATTAAACTCAGGATGTTGTTGTCGATGTTTTACGGCGATGTGTTGCTCCTGAAGTATCTCTTAACAATGTCCAGCAATAATCAGCAAGCAAACTGACACTCCATTAGCTTTGATACCGTTTTTCCATAGCAGAAATGTCTTGGTGGAACCGTTCACCATGTTCATCACTTACCGCGCCTAAATTTTCCGGAAAAAAATCGAGATGAGAATCCAAAATGTGAATCTTTAGAGACATTCCTTTATAAGCATTAATCAGTTCAGTCACAATATCTTTATAATTGTCCGACTTCACACTGCCTAAAAAATGGTAACATCACCGTGGAGAAGATTCCCTCCCTTTAATCTTGATGCGAAAAGTTCTGAGATTTTGGCAAGTCTAATTCTCGAACTAAGTCATTAAGTTAGCCCTGTGTGGTCAAATGCGGCGCTGTTGAACATCCTGGCAGTCCAACAAAGTATCAGAAATTTGTACGCTTTCTATACCATCACTTCCAGAATCGGTGGATTCGACTTTTTCATCCAAAGACCAAGATTCTGGTGGAACTGGGACAGAAAGTTCATCATTATGCTTAACGGGCCACAAAGTTGATGGTAAATTAAAATACTTAACAGTATGTTTTGATTTTGGTCCAATACCAATGTTTGTGAGGCAAAAATAGCAATCAATACGTAGTATGGTCTCTCAGTTCTCTCCAAACCATTGGTAGCGCAAAGGGTATTTTAGAATTATCACCTCTTAACCATCCTGTTAACAACGTTACACAAGTCTTAACAACATGTACGAGGGGCCCATAGTTTATTTTGGTGGCCAAATTTAATTCCAAAATAAAGTTCGTATGCTTTCAACTGAAGCGGAGTAAAAGTACGTTTTTGGGATTCAAAAGTTAGCTCTCCGCACACATAACAAAAACAGTTCGCACTATTCGCACAATTTCTAGGCATTGTCCATACGGCTAGTCTCGATCGCAATAAACTAAAAACAACACACCGTTTTAACAAAAATTAACAGTACTCAGAACATCTCAGAACCCTTCAACACAGAAGACGTAACTGACTCGACTGCTATTAGTCTACTAATAAACGAAATAAGCTCTCTTTAGCATAGAACGTATCATAAACAGGAATAGACAGGTCTTAACATTATATATGTCTGCCATCGCATAAACGCCGAGAAAAGCAGCAACTTGAGATGTTACGTATTGTAATTCATAAAAGTGGATGCCGAATATCTGTGGGTGATATAAATAATTCTGTTTTCAGATTTGATTTAAGGGTCTCAAAATACATAAGATACACCCAGGAAGTGTCATGTCACAAATCCTGAGTTTATCAGTGTTATCAAATGCCTGCGAAACATCCTGAAGCTGGATAAAAAGTGTGTGATTTCCCATAGGCAAAGTATGAAAAATCACCAAAACATTTTGTATTACCATCTTGTTTTGGTTGGCAATAGGCGAATAATCAGCTCGCTCGAATCTATTTTATTGTGAGAACCGATTGTCTATTTATCTAAGCATTAAATAATGATAATCTAAATACGATGCTGTTTTGGAAATGATAACATTTATTATTTAGCATAAATGCCATGGAATTTTCAACAAGTACTCCTACACCTGTTATCCATGAAAGTCGAATTATTATTTTTGAAGCGTTACTAGGAATTCACAGATATGTATGAAAATGATCTGGTTTCAAGTGTTATTGGCACCAGAAACATACCAGCCCACAATAATGATGAAAGTCCACCTAATTTGAAACGTGTTTATTATTGTTGTTTTGCTTATAGTAGGAGAGATTGTGACACAAAACCCAGGTGCTTCCTAATTGAATATTTTGAGGCCTCTAAGGAAAAAACTTCGTATGAACGTATGTCCTAAAGTTTTAACTTTTAGGGTACAGGGTGGTGAAATTTTCAAAAACAAATAATCTATTCAATTCAATATCTGTATAATACCACTTTAGAAATTTTAATGAAATTTGACATAATATATGTACATGTATCAAGAGGCCACGTTTTAATGTACTACATTTTTTACCACCAGTGGTATTTGTACGGAATATCACGTTTCTATTTTGGTAAACATTTGTGGTAGGCCTCTGATTTCTGTTAACATAAAATACTTTCCTATACATTTATTCAGATGAGCGCTTCAGTAACAGCGAGCATGTATAATAGGCATCAACTTGAGAGTTAAGAAAATTGGGCGCCGGCGGGACTTGAACTCGCATCTGCTCCATCCGGTGGAGCCGACCTGATCACCCAATAACATTTTAGTAGTAAGGGTTTGTATGTTCTGGCACACCCTTGAGCGCTGACCTTCGGTGCCAAACGACCTTGAGAGCTGACCTTTGGTGCAACCTTGAAATGTGACCTTGAAATGTCACCTTGAGTTTCCGAGTGACCTTGAAGTGTGACCTTGAACATATGTGACCTCGAGCACTCTCGACCTTGAGTGGGTGTGACCTTGTAGGAGTGAACGACCTTGAGATGTAGAAGGGAGCGCCGACCTTTGGTGCCAACCGACCTTGGGAGCTGACCTTCGGTGTCAACCTTAAAAGGTGACCTTGAAGCGTTACCTTGAAACGTGACCTTGAGTTTTTCCAAGTGACCTTGAAGTAGTGTGACGAAGTGTGGCCTTGAAATGCGACCTTGAGTTTCCGAGTGAGCTTGTAGTGTGACCTTGAACATATATGACCTCGAGCACTCTCGACCTTTAGTGGGTGTGACCTTGTAGGAGTGAACGACCTTGAGATGTAGAAGGGAGCGCCGACCTTTGGTGCCAAACGATCTTGAGAGCTGACCTTCGGTGCCAACCTTGAAATGTGACCTTCAAGTGTGACCTTGAAACGTGACCTTGAGTTTCAGAGTGACCTCGTTGTGTGACCTTGACTTTTCTAGTGACCTTGAAATGCGACCTTGAAGTATGACCTTGAAATGAGACCTTGAGTTTCCGAGTGACCTTGATGTGTGACCTTGATCATAAATGGCCTCGAGCACTCTCGACCTTGAGTGGGTGTGACCTTGTAGGAGTGAACGACCTCGAGATGTAGAAGGGATGACCTTGGAAATATGTGCTTAAATTGTGGAACGCGCGGAGAGAAGTCAGTTGTTGGCAAACAGTGTGTAAGAAGCAATGTGTCTACAGAAATTTAAGTTGCCTACGGTGTGGGAAGGAAAGGCTGTGGCGGTGGTAAGACCGTTTAAAATAAGGTCTTCCCCTCAAGAAGAAGAAAATTGGGATGAAGATCGATGGCTCATGGATACCACACCACCTCACCAGCCGAAGGGATCCAGGTCGCCCATGGACACTAAGCCGGTTTGGCGGGATGGATTCCGAAGATATGGACCCAGGAACCCTGCTCCGGAAGTGCCAACGGAAGAAAATTGGGATGATGATCCACCTTCTGAAACGGGATCCACGACGCCCATGGACACTACACCGGTTCGGCGGGATGGATTCCGTAGATATGGGCCCAGGAACCCTGCTCCGGAAGTGCCAACGGAAGAAAATTGGGACGATAATTCACCTCCTGAAACGGGATCCAGGACGCTCATGGACACTACACCGGTTCGGCGGGATCGATTCCGAAGATATGGACCCAGGAACCCTGCTCCGGAAGTACCAACGGAAGAAAATTGGGATAATGATCCACCTTCTGAAACTTACATCCCACTTATTAGGGATGTACCTCCAGGCATGTCGCGTAATGCGAGACTGAGATGGAGGCTGCAGGAAAGAATTAGAATCCACCAACTGCAGTAGCAGTGAATGAAGCAGAGGTGCAGAGAGTGGATATCTTGTTATCAGACGGAAGCAGAGTTGAAGAGGGTGGAGACAATGTTGGCAGATGACAAAAGCAGTGGGGCGGCCAAGGAGTGCACCAACAAAAGTAATAAGTGCAATAAAGGTGACCATATCAATATGATTCCGAAGACCGTTCCTTCAACGAAACCAAAAAAAAGTATATACCATGTATGCATGGCAATATGCGTATAGAGTAGCACGAAGAAGTAGCTGGAAGGTAGCAGATGGCTGTAGGTTTCGAAGGCGCGTGCAACTATTCGAAGAAGTGCTAAAAAAGTACGTATCACTAGATTATAGACGAAAAGCGTTTGCAGAAAGGTTTGAAAATGTAAATTAGTGAAGTGAAGGTATGTCTGTGATATGCATAAGATTAGTTTGAAGTTATGTTTTTTTAAGCTTTGACTGTAGAATAAAATTGTAATGTAACATAAAGAAAAAATGGAAAAACCCACGCTTAAAATAGTGAAGTTTGGAGTGCCCGTATTGCAATTGCGATTAATAGAATCAAACGATTCAATGTCGATGCAGTGTGATTGTACAAATGAAAAGATGTTCTGTAATTTGTGTAAATATTGCTGTAAATACATATCGATAACCATTTACATGGTGTTTCCTGACAACTCATTGAATAAAAAAGCTAATATGTTTTAATAATTGTTTCATTTAAGAAAAGTATGACATGATAAAGTTCTTATACAAATAAAATACGTTGGATAGTGCACACATGGTCATAGGCTTGGAGTTATAGAAACATGCAGTGCTAGCGGGTTCTAAACGAGGCTATTCGACAAATTCGATGACGGGTTTGCGGGAAAACCGTCTCAAGTATTTTGCTTTTTCGATTCCTTTGACGAAAATTCGATCTGCATGCTTCGTTAAGTCATCCATAATTTTTGGAAAGGTATGTAGTGGAGTAAAACCACAGTTCCAATTTATACAGTGATGATGCTGCATCAACCAAGTAGCTTGTGTTTGTAAGTCCGGTGGGAGCAGATCCAGTGCAAAAGGGGGCTTGTAGACATAGTGACATATTTGTTGTCCATCATACCCAGCAATTTCTTTAACAATAAATTTATTATGTTCGATTTTGAATCCTTGCACATCCAAAACAAGATTCATATCAAACTGCAAACTGATGGAAGACACACTGTTGCAAGCAATATGATCCAATAGCTTGTCTTAACTGTTTAAGTTTGGAGACGTATCGCTCAAGAGCTTTGTAGTAAATGAGCTTCATAATAAAACTGACCAGGAAATGTGGGAAATTTCTTCTGGAAGGTTCCTGAACTTCAGGTATTACCATGAACCTAAAATAAAAATAAACTTGGTGAAACAAATGAAGAACAGGGTTATAAAAAATCTCTGACAGTACTTTCTAGCTTTCCAATTTAAGGAAGCTTTCAGTCTTATTTATCAATACTGGCTATCCTAAGTATTTGGTTAACGGAATCTTGATCAGCTCTCCTCCGAATATTTTGCCAATGACTAATAACAATAGTGAAAATGACAACACTGGTCAGTCCAACCAAACACCCATTACTTCTCCAACTAATGAAAACAACAACACTACAGTGGTTACTCCTATTCCCAGAGCTAATTATGTTGTTTTGCCATACATCAAAGAACTAACACCAAAATTGATCAGGCTGTATAATTCCTTTAATTGTCGTTTTGCTTGTAAATCAGTGCTCACAGTCAACAGTTTATTGTCCAAAATGAAGAATAAGTTTCGGTTGCTTGATTCAACCAATACTGTCTATCGTATTAATTGCAACAACTGTAATTTAGTTTATATAGGCCAAACTTCTAGGTCGCTGAAAGGCAGGATAGCTTCACACAAAAGTGACGCCAGATTACATCCAGAGAGATGTGCTTTGGCATCGCATATTAACAACACAGGACACTCCATGAATTATGGCAGTGTTGAGGTTCTTGATAAAGAAAAAAGACTCTCAAAACGTTTATATTTAGAAATGTCTCACATTTTCATGACAGATCATTTCATGAATAAAAAGGCTGATGTCAAGCAGCTCAGTGTCATTTATTCCTACCTGTTGAATTGCGAAAAGCTAGAACGGCAACATATCCAAATTGAACCAACATCTTCACAAAACTGGAATACATTTTCTCACTCACATTTTTAATATAAACTCACAAAACCCATCTTTTCAAGATTGCATCAATATCACCCGTTCTTACATTCATATGAGCTACACAATTGTTTACAAGACAAGTTAATTCAGCATTTTAGTAATTTTGGGTGGGGGTTTACCGAACGTCCCTCGTATACTTCATACCCAAAGCTGGACAGAGAAGTTTACAGTTCCACGGTCCGTCACGTCAATCACTTGTCACCTGTCGACGCTTTATCTTTCCGTGCCTTCCCCCTCTCCACGTGTTGCGGATACAGAAGGTTAGAGTCTGCATTCCGATTGTTTCAACAAAATGTCGTCTCACGTATAATATTTTTAACTTGTTCGGGTGGATTGATATTTTTAACATTTAACGAAGGAATTTGTCGTTTTACAACAAACCCAATGTCCCCGTCCTTTTGTTTTTATACTGATTATAATTTCGATCTTCTCTACGTTTGTTCTGAAACACCTTGTGGCTGCAACCTCACCGACGAGTAAGTTGTCTGACAATTTCAATCTGTCCTGTTTTCTTTGCTAGCATCACAATTGTGTTTTCAGAATCCTGATGAAGGTTCCATAGAGAATGCGAAAGCTTGATTTTATCGTCAAAGGAGTCAACTTAAGCCTAAGAGTTTTGCCAATTTCCCAATTAGCAATTAATTGTATATATATATATATAGAGAGAGAGAGAAAATGATCATGCGGAGAAAGGTATGTAACAAAAAGGGGGAAAGTGGATTCGAGCAGAAAATAGGATAGGTAACCCGAGCGATACGTATTTCTGCTGGTTGGCTTCATCAGGCCCAAAATGAATGCACATATGGCTACAAACGTAGATACATATGCCCACACATCCGGATACGATCTCAGAACCATTGCAAATACTCTTATCAAAAGTTGAAGGACCTAAACAAGAATTGCAGATCAAAGAAGAACAATCTACACCCCCATCAGTGACATCCACACCGAAGAAACGACAGTCATTCAATAAAGAATTGTCAGAAAATGTATACCAACGATATTTACCACCTGTCAACTACAGCTTTCTCGAGGATACATATTCAAATCTTCCGGAGCCAAATCGCAGTCAAGATGTATCTAGCGTGGAAGAATTTACTCCAAATGCTACGGTGTTGGAGACAGAAGGCCAGCAAATCAATGAAAGCGTGAATCGAGTGGCGCAAGAATTACACCAACTAATTGATACATCTGCATATCAAGAGTATCTTGAAGGCTTTCATCCTGTACCTCGCAAATATGTTGATGAGCCAATTCGTGGGACGAGCGCGAGTTTGATCGTTATTATGGATTAACACATGACATTATTTCTGACAAGTTTCAACTCAGTAAAAGTCCGGTTACGCTAGACGGAGCAAATATCGTGGTGGAAAATGTAACATATCCTGGCACACCTGGGTTATATGAACTGCTTTTCAAAAAAGAACCAATTCGTTATAAGCAGAGTGATCTAGATCAGTATATGGATATGCCTATAGTCAACGCCAAACAAAGTGGCGTGCACGTCATCACGATAAAAATTCCCCGACCTAATGCCTAGGTTTCTATCACAAACAATTGCTCTATTGCAGTTTCATACTAATGTGATATATAAATTGTAAAATGGTCATTACTCTCTTATTATGGTTAATAGTCATATAAACATTGTTATTAAAATATCACATAAGTTGCTTTCTGATAAATTTAGACGCATTATGCGAAATAAAATGTTTTGCAAACGCTCCAATCACTTATCGACATGTAAACGCACTAAACCGATTTCGCAGCGTTGACACATTGTCACCTTGAAACTTATTTAAACTGGGAACTGACATTTGTATTAATTTTGACACTGAATCAATTTGTGGCATTTCAAATCTTTATAAATCCTTTGGCCCCGCATACTGTAAATCAACAACTGTTTGTTTCAAAACAAAATTATTCATTTTACGAGTAGATAAAGGCAATTTTGGTATATAAAGATGCCCAAACAGTTAAATAGTCGGTGTAAGGAACTCGTGGCCTCGTTAATGCACTACTTTGAGCAAGAAAGGGACAACAACGGGCCTTTGTTGCCTTTAAATGCTGTTCAAGAGGTAGGTTACTAATAATTATATGTAATGTATATTAATAATAGTGAAATTTTATTTCATTTTTTGTAGCGTGTTGCTGCTGCTTTAAAAATTAGTTTAAGGACAGTTAGTCGTATTTCCGAGGGTGTGAAAAGTGATGCAAATTTAGAATCGCCCAAGAAAAAGCGGAGTTATATTAAACGTGTAACCAACACAGCGACATTGGATACAAGTGCCATTCGAGAAGTGATCTATAATATGTATCACAAAAGTAAGATCTTATTATAATAACTTATCAGAAATTTGCATTAATTTGTTAACTAAATTATAATGTCATATT